CCGATGCACAAACCTACAGACTGAACAACAAACCAACGTAACAGAAAGCCATTAACCAGTAAAGCTAGCAGTGTTTCCTCAAGAATTGTCTAAAGACAAGCCCAAAAACGCACGAGGGAGAAAAGAGAATATATTAAGGCAACGATGTCACAACAGTAACAAAGCTGATCATTGAAGGGAGATTGTTGTAAGGTGAACATTATTTCAATGTTGTCATCGAACACCACAGGAAATACACTGTGCTCATTCCATGCAATAATGAGAATATGTATGCATGGTTCAGCGTTAAACAAAATATCAAAATTATCTTAAGAAATGCGCTAAAAATGTTTTTGTTGCCGAATTAACTTTTCAATATATTCATCGAGAACTGATGTATCAAAATAAACAAAGATTATGGATGTAAAATTTTCGTTATGGAAATGCCAGCTTTTGACCGAGGAAATTTAACGATGTGACAACCAGGGAATAAAGATTATGCCAGGATTTCCCATGACACTTAAAAAAAGGAAGTGTTTTGACATAATTTTTAATTCAAAATTTGTCCACTAGTAGAATTTCATCCATAGCGTTTGGCTGCTGATGTAGGGTAGAAACTGACTTTCGTCTGATCTCGCGGTTTATATTTTTACACCAGTTTAAGTGCGCGAATCGCTGTTAAGAAATCCCCGTACCACTGATATTTCATGTTAATTTCATTACCCGTAAACATTCATACATGCTACCTGTCCCGCAACGGCTGTTAACAACAGCAGCAAAAGTTGGCTAAGGAAAGCCTCGCTCCTGTTTAATCCCGTCATCCAATACGCAATGGTGAAGAACATCGCCGGCTGACATATGATGAGAGGTAGTTCACTGCAGAGCTTGGCTAAATAGTATGCTGACAGTCTGTAATACCCAGCCGCTCTCTCTTTATTCACCACTGTTGCTTCATTTGGAACTAAAGATAGCAAACAATTTATAATCAAAATGTTTTGAGGGCTGCAGTGTTTGGTGTTCTTACAAGTGGATTGAGACGGTACGGAGAGATGAAAATAGTTTAACATGAAGCCCCACCGCCAACTTAAGGACTTTCGCGCGAAATTTTCCAGTCGATAAATTTTTTTTATTTTTTTACTGCAGTCAGATAATGAGTTACCTGTGTTATAAATGCAAAACAAAACTACCCTGATTTTTGAAAAATTGGCGAACTTTATTCAGTATGGTCTACAGGGGTTTATATCGAAGGTGAGTCAACGGAGGCCAACGATCTTAGTCATATTTTGTAGAAGTAGGTCTGTTGCTTAAATAATTCCAAATGTTGACAACGTTTTCACAAAACTTAACCCTTCAAGAGGCATTTGAAACCACCGCACAGATAAACGAAGAGCTAAAACTAACGGAATTCGATGGTATATTTTGCCAAAAAATTCAAACTTCTAATCGATAGATTTTCTTCATTTTTTCGCTAAACGTAGAAAATTGGTAGAAAAAATGATCCATCAAAAGGAAAATAGGGGTCACCGAACATCCAGGATCGTTAAATCCAGGCAAAGCTATAGCAATAGCCATCTGCCCTATCATTGTTCATTTTATTACTTAACGCGCGCATCGATGCATGACGTGGCGTGTGAATTTGCGTGCGCATTAAGGAAGCGCAGAAACAATTAGCGCGATCGTCCTTAATAAGGAAGGATATAATGATCTATTTCAACATGTTGATCACAATTCGATTAGTTTGTTTACCATGACCAGGAAAGATAAGCTTAGTTAAACATAACTTGCAAAGCCATGCAATCTTTTTAGTGAAACCCCATCACCAGCAAAATAGAAAGCAAACAAGTGCCTCGTAACCCAATGAAAGATGTATGGATCTATTTCAACATGCTGATCACAATTCGATTAAAACGAAAAGTGAGTCACAGGACTCGTATTGGAATTAAAAGCACTTGGAGCTAAAATCAAGGGGGTTATAAAAACTGCTGCTGTGGTAACCTTTTTGTTTTACCAACGATTTGCCATTGTTACAGCATCAACTGACAAAAGTGGTGGTACTGATCCTTCAAAAAAGAAGCACTGAAAACTAATGAAAACCATTGTGAACCTCTCTGAAAGAGGACAAGTAAATATCAAGGACTAATTATTAAAAAGTGTTTCAGGTTTTCCAATTTTAGGAGGGGGATATTACTGGAAAATCGTGACAGCAGGAGGAAATGTTTGCAATATAAAATGGCAAGTCAAAACACATTTAAACTACGTGTACATGTATGAAAATCGATGCAAAAGTTTCTAAACTCACATGACATCAGTGCTTGGAAGAGAGGATAAAAAGTTAAATGCATTATAACAAAGAAAATCTGCAAAACATGTAAATATACATCGTTAGGACATTTTACTGAACTGTCAAGAAACAAACGGTAAAGCAAGGACTTAATTCAAATTAACCATTTTGTAATGAAAGATCTTTAACGAGGAAAAGATTTAAGTTACAATGTATACATCTCTCGGTTACTTTGCGCGCCTGTGATTGATCAGTTCAAAGCTGTTACGTTTTTCTTGCAAAAAAATGTTTCTTGTGTCATCACCAAGTGTTCTTAACTCTCAAAGCAAGTACAAGTTTACGACTTCCGCCTATTAAGACGTGCTAACGACTTTGAGTATCACTTAACTAGTGGACTAATGCAAATCCTGCATTTTAATTGGCTACGCTACTAGAGGACTATTAGTAATAGTCCTCGAGTAGCGAAATTGGCGCAATCGAGCGTGAAGCTTTCTTTCGTTTTATTCCCAAATAAATATTTCGTCAACTTACATTTGCTTCGCCTCATGGGCTATTGACCCGTAGCCCTTGCTGGCTACGGGTCTAGTTAAACAACGATTCAATTCGAATCGACTCGTTTTGCTTTCGACGCGCATCAGTCATTTAAAGTCGTTCTGTGTGAATAGAAATCGTTTCCCATACCCGTCAAACGCACAGAGAAGAGATATAATAAACATCCTACTAAACTCGTCTACTTTGTCCGTCCTGTAAGTTACGGTCCTCGTTTTTTCCCCTACGATTCATGGCCCACGCGCTTTGCGCTTCGCTCATAAATCGAAGGGGTAAGAACTCGGTTCGTAACTTACAATACCGACATCGAACGTGGTTAGTAAGAGGTACATGTATGAAGGCTACAAAATCAGACTCGAGAAAGCACAATTAAGTGTAAAAGGAGAAATAACCAATACAATAGAAAGAAGAGTTATTCACTAACCAATGAATATCTGTCCACAATACTCTCCTCTTTGTACGGAAGCTGAAACCATATCAGTCCTACTACCACGGCGAGAAGTGAGTTCTGAAATAAACGCAATGCACATTCTGACAATTGTGGAGGCGCGGTGGCCTCATGGTTAGTGCGCTAGACTCCGGATCAAGCGGTCCAAGTTGGAGCCCTGGCCGGGGACATCACGTTGTGTTCTTGGGCAAGACACTTTACCCTCACAGTGCCTCTCCCCACCGAATGCTGAATGCTGGGCGAACTGAATGCTGGGGGTAACCCAGCGATGGCCTAGCATCCCATCCAGGGGGGAGAAAAAATACTCCCAATACTCCCAGTCGCCCCATGCCACGGAACCTCGGGTAAGCTCCGGCCTGATGGGCCACTTGGCTCGTACGCAGACTTTACTTTTACCATATGACAATAAAATATCATTTTGGGCATTTTTGATTTTTCGCCACGGCATGCACGTTTGTCTGGGACGAAGTTGAGGAATTCGTCCCCCCGGGGTGCAATTGCGACAGTACAAATCGGCAAAGACGAGGTTTTACCGCGTACCATAGCTGAAAACTTATGGTGTACTGTATATCTACAGATATATCCGGCAAAGTCACCAAAAGAAATCAACTTTTACACTCATCAGGGTAATCACACACCAACAACAAACACAACCTGTGACATGTTGGCTTAAAGTCCCCAAATGCCGTGACTGTGGACAGAAATGACTAGCAGCCGTCTCTTTTTAATGCATCGTTAAGTAGGTAACGTACCTTGGCCCTCAAGCAAACGTAAAGTGCCGCTGCATTAGCTGCAAGTTACAGTCATTACATGTATAATTTAACATTATGTGAATATACATTATGACATTGTGACATTCGACAATATGTGAATATATATCTAACCGTTTCATTACAAGATTTCAGCTGTGGCTCAAAATTGTCAACTTGTCGGCATTTCCCTGGATAATTTTCAGATTAAACCTTTTTCTCACCACTTTTCTACAAAAACAAGAGATTAAAACAACATCCGATGGAAAATCGAGCAATTTCAGGTTTTCGTGGACAAAAATCTGGTACCAGAATAATTTTAAGTATTTTACAGTCATTTTTACATGTTCTTAAAGCTAAATACAAAAATGATTGCCTGAAATAACACCGAAAACAATTTCCCATGGGAACAAGAGAAAATAKATTTCAAAGTTCAGAGAACTTGRGCAAACACAGGCAAAATTTCATCATCAGTTTCATTTCACCAGTACTTCCAAGTGTTTCATACGAAGTTCAACATTCGTTTTCGACGTTTGGTGTTGCTAGAAATGATTTTTTTTTTTTGAGAAGACATTTAAAACAGTCGTACAGAAGTTTGCAATACGATGTAAATAATCTTGGTACTGGGTTTTTGTCCACTTGTTACTCGAACTTTTGGTGGATTCCGTCTTAATCTCTTGCCCAAAACTAATCACTCACCTGAATTATGTCTAGCTTAGACAGAATATCTGGCCTGGACTGCTTGAACGACCTCTGCAACAGAACTGTGAACTGTGTCCAGAAACTAGTGGCCCATGATGTGGAGATGTCGCTGTACAAGGCTGATTGATCTTCATCGTCATCATGATAATGGATGTCGACTTTGGAGTAATCCCGTGATGTAGTACGCTGGTAAGTGACAACAGCCACATTGAAGTCTGCAGAGGACAACCGAACCTCCGTGTGAACTGGGGGAAGTGCATCCGTAGACTTAGTGTCATTAAATGAACTTCTCACACTTTTCCACAATGACTTGGATGGTGGATGTTTCTGAGTTGCAATCAAGGGATTGGAGCTCTCATTTTCATCTGCAAGTTCACTTACGGAGGGTACATGCCCATTAGGAGCTTCCATGTCATCTAGTATGGGGCTCTTCAAGTTTTCTTCATCGTCAGGAACATTAGAGGTATCATCAACTAACTCTGTGGTAGAAGAGCTTGATGAATCAACTTCTGTCTCTTTTTCTTTATCAGCCAATGTGTCTGCACTTTTGTTGCCTGGTTCACGTGCTGTATCCTGAGTGTTTTCCAGCTGATCCTTGCCATTGTTCTCTGGAGTAGGGTTTGGAGTCTCAAGTCTTCCTGGTCCATGCTCAGTGGACATTGCTGAGAACTTTTTATGTCGTTTGTGCCTGCAATAAAAAATTGACGTTTCTACATAAAAAATGTTAATAATGGTTCTTACGATACCCAAAATCACAGTCTTAACAAAATAGCTTCAATGTGTCAATTTCATTCTGTGTTGGCAGCTATTAATATAGTTTCTTCAACGTTTTTGTTGTTGTTTGTTTGCTTTTTTGGGGTATACCCCCAATACGAGATCACCCGTAGTGTTACTATGTCAGAGAATACACGATTTCATAACAGGTTCGCCGATGATCGTGTGTTCGAGTTGTCTTGTTTTTAATTTTGTTTTGTTGTTCTCTGTCATGGTTTGTAAATCTTTAAACTGACCTGTCAGCCCAGCCTTTCACAATCCTTTCCTGTACTTCCTCTCCTTCAGTCACCTTTTCCACTGATGAGTATAGAAAAAGTTACATCTCAAAACATGTGTGTCACTGTCACACTGCTATTATACATGTATGAACTGATTATGCCAGAATAAGGGAAAGGGACCAAGAGAAGCGAAGTCTGCAAGACAACACTGACTAGATCTCTGATATTCTTTAACTCTCTTTGGATTGATATCAACTTATTGCTACGACCACATCAGAATTACGTGAATGCCCTTAATAACGTACACGAGTACATGTACATCAGGGACAAGGAACCATTAGTACACGCACAAATAATGCATTGTACATTGAACCTTAGTTATTGCATTATAACTGTATTTTGCACATCAGAAATTATGTTCCTTTGTCTTCTAGAAATACATTGTGCATCCTCTATCGGAATACATGGCAGGAGTACTTACAAATAAAGTCTGCTGGGTTGAAGTGAGCATCGCAGACCAGGCCAATACTCTCAAAGAAATTCAGCACTTTGCCAGCCTCCCCATAATAAGCTACCTGTTATTTAAAAAAAAAAGTAATCCACATAAATAACTGAATAACAAATTATCTGATCGTGAATTACATGTACTCCCACTACAGTGTAACACCCTTTTCGACGTCTGTTGCACCGGCCCAACGAAAAATGATTGCCTGGAATTATATAATTTGCTAAGAAATACATGTAGAAATTATGTGACTGAGCAATAGCAACTCGATCGAGTGGAAGTCGTGAAGGAAGAGAAATGCGTGGTTAATAATATTCTCCAGCCCTAAATAAGATAGTAGCGTTTTGTTCCTCTCGAGTAAGCAGAAACGGACATTATTTGCATCGACAGGCATGCATAATAAAGCTCTTATCACAATAGCATGTGTTCTGATTGGTAGTGTAGTCCTGTTGTGCAAGGCTACTTTAATTTTAAACATACATGTAGTCATAAAGTGTCTCTGCATTTCAACTTTGAACAGCTTCAGATCAGTTTACATAAAATTAGTCTCTCAGATACACCCTTTTTATATATAAGAACGCCTAATTTTGGAGCTGGGGCTGAAAGTTCTTATATTTTTGGGCGATTTGAGGCTGAAAACGTTCGTGAGATGTTCTTAAATATACATGGTATACCGGTATCACCTAATGACTTTAATGTTGTGGAAGTTATTTTGGAACAGATATGAATAAGAACTGCTGATTATTACAAACCGAGATGTGTACTTACGTATTTGGGTTAATTTACATTTTTTTTTTGTTACCTTTATTTTATCCTTGTCATTTAAGGTTACCGTATACCTTCAGGGGTGTCTCACGTCCAAGCGATGTAGCGCGTCCGGTTTAAGATGTAGATACCTAAACCCCTATATCAAATTAA